CGGTTGTAAAGAGGCCGGGTCGTGAAGCTTACCGTCCACCTCTAACTAGTGCCGAGGTTAAGAAAACGTGCATCAGTACGCCTTCGTGACGTATGCTGAATTAGTTAAGTACTGCACAACTTTACCTTTGCTTCAGGTTTGATGACGACGAGCAATGAACCACTGCAGTTTGGTGTGGAGATGTATCACAGGCATACCTGCACATTATGACGTATGATAAACATGGCGGCGGATAAATGTGTCGTGGAGAGGACGTGTACTGAAGCAGCGTGTTCTTACAATATTAAGCATAATAACTCCACGGAGCCGAGCCCTGCTTGAGAAGCCTCCATTTCCCAACGTTTCATGGAACCCCAAGTTTCATTACGTTATTCACAGCAGCCCTCTGTCGCTCTCTGCCCTGACCAACATGAATCCAGTCCATACCACCCCGTACTATCTCTCTGGGATCCATTTTAATATCATCCTTCCACCTATCCTTCCTATTCATAGTGTCTTCGTGCGTGCTACATGCCCTCCCCATCACCTCCTTGACTTTGATTATTCTGATTACACTTGGCGAAGCGTACTCGTATTCAGCTTAATAATAATAATTCAATTCAATTCAATTCAATTCAATGCTTTATTTATTTACGTGCCGAACTCAACAGCGGAGGCCAATTATAATAATAATAATAATAATAATNCAGGTGAGGGGGGAGACACCCACTCTGTTGGAAAGAAAGAGTTAACCTGAATCACTGGTCCGAGAACCCCAGTAATTCTGAGTGTTATACACCATTGTCAGAATCATTTAAGATCTAAGATAAAGCCTGTGAAATAGAAAAGTAGCCTTTATGAGTACTGCAGGGCGCTGGCAGTGATTGGGGAACGTGAGCGACGTGTCACACATAGACACACTCGCTTCCTGGGCGAGAGGCTTTTGTTTCGGGCCACGAACCCGCGCGTTCCGCGCAGTTAGCTCATAACTGCTGCCTGCGCCGTCCTGTAACAGGCCGTGGAGGCCCATGGGGTTCTGAGACGTCGAGGCTCCCACATTTTCCACAGACGATCGGCTCACAGATGGCGGTGAGGTTGTCAGCCTTACGCGCCAAGCTATCTCTTTAACAGGCCGTGGAGGCCCATACGGTTGTGAGACGTCGAGGCTCCCATATTTCCTATAGACAGTCACCTCACAGATGGCGGTGAGGTCGTCAGCCTTACGCACCGGCCGCACGTTACCCCCAAGGAAGATTCCTGGTACGCATTTCTGTTAGAGGCTGAGTCGAACCCAGGTTCACAGTGCGGATGGAAGGATTAGGTCAACTGAAAAGCCCAACGACATTGGGGAATCGACCCCGCGAACTTCCGGCTTGTAGCATAGTGACTCAAGTAAGTGAGCTGAAGCGCACGGTTTGAGTTTGTCCGACATCTCTCGAGGCGAGATGTCTGTCCGACGGCCACAGAACGGAGATGACGTCACCATCCGTGAGAAGTACGAGCGGTCACTGTGTCCGTCACTTCTCCTTTCCGCACCAACGCATAAAATTGTTTAGTTCGCCACGAATTGCTGCGTTCCGGATGAGCAGGTTATTTTGTGCCGAGTGTGAGAACTTCTCTGCAGAGGAAGGCCGAAACCAAACTGAAGCCCATGTGCCCTACGAACAAAGGTACGTAATACCTTGTGTAGGCAGCATTACGGAAGGGAAGTCCTACCGAAGTAAGATGAAGATGTCCCTGTGCTTTACTTATTGAGCACTACGTCGTGAAGGCGTATGGAAAAATGGATATATAGACCCATATTTTCTTGACCTCGGCACTAGATCCAGGTGAGTGGTCAGCTTCACGGACCGGGGAAAGAGCCCGCGGTACACATTGGATAGCAGGTTGAGTGAACCCCAGAGCCGGTCAGGACGTTGTGCAGAATAGAAAATTCTTTGCTCTACCGGGACTCGAACTCCGACCCCTCGGTCGTCATACCCGTAATGAGTCGCTATACCGACACGCTATCCCGGTTCTGTCTTGCGTTAAGTGTGTGTGTGTGTGTGTGTGTGTGAATTCCCTGACGGCTTATGGACACAAACATTTTGGGAACAGGATCTAGGAACTTCGTAAGGATGACGTGTCCCCGTTCTTAAAGTGGATGGAGTATACATGAGTCAGAGCAGTATACGTATATATCTGGTTTGTTTATATTCTGATTTTGCTTTGTAAGGTCCTTAAACGGTTCAGTATGCATACCTGTTGCAATCTTCAGGGTTTTAACCCAAACACCAACTCACTGCTGAGTGCTGCGTAAGAGCCCTCCCCCCAATCGTGGAGGCGGCAGCGGCAATATTTGCCGAAACGTTGGTAAACCGACATCATACGCGACTTGCGCCCGGTAGTCGAAGTGATACAATCAAATATTACGTGATATACACAAATGCCATTTCTGTCACATTCTGGTTTATTGACCACGCCATTTGAACACACTGCATCCATATTCTGAATGAAACAGACCCGATATGTTTGCGTAAGCAGGAAAGAGGATGGCGTCCAGAGCACTTGGTAAATGCCGCGTGACGCCTGTGGTCTATGTGCCGGAATATAAGGGGCACACATACGTGTACATATATTGTAATTGTGTTTTATATTGCATACGAAACGCACTTTGAAGTCTTCATATTTTTTTTCACCGTATACAACTTCGAGCACACTTAGGCTTACCTTAATTTTATATTTACGGTTTTAATTTGGAGATTCCATATTGTGTTCATGTATTATTTATAGGTGTTAATGTCTACTGACTTGTGTAATTGTGCTTATACAGAGGGGCCCAAAAATGTATTCACTCTTTGACAGTCAATATCTTTGGAACAAAATGACATGTAGTTACAATTCTTGCGCGGAGAGAGAGAGAGAGAGAGTCATTGTATGTGTTCGAAGTGACCACCATCAGCGGCTAAACAGCGTCGATGCCGCCGAACTGTTGAGCGAACTACGGCTGTCAGTGTGTCCGGTGTAATGGCTGCACACGAAGCTTCGAATGGTTTCTCGTAGCGCGTTCAGTGTACCTGGCTTTTGTCTATAAACTTCATCCTTCAAGGTTCCCCCTCAGTAGAAGTCGAGAGATGTTAGGTCTGGAGACCATGGTGGGTACTCAATAGCACCTCTTCGACCTATGCATCGTCCAAGTAGAGTGTCATCCAAGAACGCCCTGACATCTCGATTGTAGTGAGGTGGAGCACCATCTTGTTGTAGGTAAAATCTCTCATCTCGAAACAGCTCTCGAATGGCAGGCAAAATCGATGTCTGAAGCATATCGAGATACACCTGACCAGTTAGAGTACCTTCAAAGAAGATAGGACCAATCAAACCGCGCGATGACAGTCCACGCCACACATTAGCACCCGGCAGATTCACTTCCTTGCCCACGTGAACGTGTGGATTTACAGGAGCCCAATACACACAAATGTGGCGGTTACCAGTACCGTTCATTTTGAATTGCGCCTCGTCCAGTACCACTTCAGTACAGCCTTGCGTTGCTCAAAGAACAATCTTTCAGGCATTGTTGCTCTGTCTTCTGCTCGCAGCGCGCACGCGGCACGACACTCACGTGACTCATATGACCTTCGCCATCTGCTGAGAAAACATTAAACTACACTAACGCGCAAGAATTCTAACTACATGTCGTTTTGTTCCAGAGATATCGACTATCAGAGAGTGAGTACATTTTTTGGACCCCCCTGTATATCCGTCAACACAGCAAACCTCTTACATCCTACTTGAGAATATTTACTTATTGTTATTGTGTACGTTTATATATGTAAATTCCCAACAGTGTGGACGAGTTAAGACAAAGTGTTTCATTAGGTAATGAGGCATTGGGACGTAAACAATTTTGTCCAGCACGTACAAATATTGACAAAACGTAACAAAACCTGCTGAGTGTTTATGTTGTAGTCACTTTATCCACTCTTCTAAATATATGTTTCTCCAGAAACAACAAAATGTTTCATATTAGCAAATCACGAGTGGTAAAACATGTGAGTAAACTGCGCAGGCGCAGCAGTATAGTTTGCGTACAGGTTTGGTGACGGCCGAATATGGCAGCACGACAAACTAAATTCATCACAAAATTGGACCGTGGATATGCGTTCCTCTCAGCCTGTGTGGCCCCAGAAGTGGAGCCATCTATGCAGAAATGTTGAGCCGACTGAAGCCATAGAGCAGAGCGGATCACAGGAATCAAAGAGTCGCTGAGTTGCTCAAGAAATTCCCCAGCCTTTATTGATCTCCATTGTTCATTACCGTGTTCACAACAGTCCACCACCACCTTCTTCCACATTTCTATTTTTGGCCTGCTTTGCTTCTTTATAGAAAAAATAAAGGCGTATTAGATCGCGTTGCTGCCCGTATATCCCCATAACTCGTGAAAGCCTGAATATTTGAGCCAGAAGAGACGGTACCATATATAAACATAATATGTGTCACGACGCCTGGAAGCCAGGGCAGTCAGAGAAGCGGCACGGAGACCGCCGTTTCTAGGCAAAGCTCCATAAAAACGTAGGCGAGTAATTCTCAGAAATTCCTATAATGTTTATCGGACCGTCTAGGACTATGTCTTTCAACAGATATTTTTTAGCGCTGAGTAATTGAAATCAAAATTCCTTGTGCAGTTCTGAGCGCTCCTCATCCGCTATTCATGTCATGTTCCTAGACTTTGGTCATCGTAGCGAAAAATACAAACGCCGAAACTCCTCATTATGTAATTTTCTCCAGTCTCTCCCCCCATGTCTCACATAATCTCTGAGGTCACCCCCCAGTATAGTTCTTGAGTGTCTTCATGTTGGTAGCTGTGGACAGACCAACCCCATTTCGTGGTGAATTTAGGGCGTCGAACCACTGTCTGTGCCGCATAGAACCGAGATAACTATCCATTGGCAATCATGAAACACGTGAACCAGTGACTGATTTCGCATTTCTGTCTTGTTAAGTCACTAACTGCATATTACATGACGTGTGGATCTGCCCTTCAGCCCAAGTGCTAGGTGACTTACCGTACGAGGACCCCTGCAAGCTGACCAATGTAAAGACTACGCCCCACGTGACGCACTGTGACAGGTACTATGCCTGTTACCACGGACAACCCCTCGAGTTCGACTGCCCCAATGGCCTAGTGTACGTCGGCAAGGGGCAGAAGGGCCCTTTCGACGGTGTCTGTGATTACGACTTCAACGTGGACTGCACGGGCAGGGAGAAAAGGAGTAAGTGTGGAAGGTAAAGGTGGCCGGATATGAGCGGACAGAAGGTCCTGACGTCAGCTTCAATGCTTACACACGAAGGTAACATACAGGGCGGCGTCCGTTCTGTCGGTCTGATTTGAAGGACCCTTTAAGGACAGTGACAAGTATGTGTACCATGTTCTCTAGCATTAAAGATCGCTGTTTCTGCCCACTCAGTGTATCTGTGTTCCATATGGGTCTCACAATAAACAGCGACTGTTTCCCTAAACAGCATTAACCGGTTGGGCTTCGTAGCGGAGACGTAATGTGTTCCCTGTGAGGTACGGACTGGGTGTGTTTTCCGTACGGTTCTCACAATAAACAGCGACTGTTTCCCTAAACAGCATTAACCAGGTTTTTTTTTTAATTTGCATCTAATAATTTGCTGAAGTTTATCCCATACCGTCCTATTTGAGCTAAAATCTGACAACAGTGGACACTCGGAGAGTACGTTGATGGCATTACTGCGAGCATCAAGACTTGCATAACGGAGTCAGGGAATAATGTTTCGAACCAGTACTTGTGGGAAACACATCAGAAACACAGTCTTTTGTGTTATCCGCAAGTCTTAACGGGTTTCAAGACTATAAAAAACTCCTGAAGAGGGAGGCAATATGTTTTCCTTTGAAACGTCGTTGACTTTTCAAACTGAACTGAAGGACAGACGAGCGAACTTACCGCACTTCTTACTCCATGTGCATATTTATACTGCTTCCATCTTCAGGATCTAAGTGAGCCAAGCAAGAAGCGATCAGAGCACAGGCTACACGGCGCCACACCCCACAAGACAGTGTTCTTCGTAGCCCCCCCACCGTGAGAGCCCCATATCTAACGCAGCCTAACTTGTTTACCTTAAAGCAGTGGTTCTCAAACTTTTTACCTCCGAGCCCCCCCTTGACAAGAGAAAATACTCTCAGGCCCCCTGCCTGCTTTTTTTTTATCAAAATAGAAGTCATGGTATGTTTGACGTTTTATGCAGTTTATTTTGTTTTTTTCTACATACTATTTAGCAGTTTTTTTAATCAGAATTAAAGTATCACAATATTAGGCCTACAATAGAAATTAGTTTTAACACTTGCAATTAACCAAAATATGTACTGAAATGAAACGATATTTAACTAAAGTGTTTAATTTTTTTTTTCTGCAAAGAAAATCAAACATTTAAATGTCGAAGTTCAGTGTGATGGATGGGCCTGCTTTTGAGAACAGAGATTATCAAAACGTGGTGTAATATCAGAAATGGCCACTCTAACTTCTTTAGAAATATTTAGCCTTAAATGATACTTTGACTTTATAGCTACCAAAGCAGAAAAGCCTGTCTTGCATAAGTAAGTTGTTGCAAAAGCGATCAGGAACTTCAATGCTTTTTGGCTCAACGCTGGGAATTCCTTGCCAACATATAACCAGAACTGCAGTAAAGATAATTCCTTAAATTAATTTTTAATGAAGTATCACTAGTGAGATCGATGAGTTGTTCTTGCTCATTTACATTCAGAGATGATGGCCCAGGAGCATTTTCGAATGGATTTTTAATCCAATTAAATTTATCAAAATCATTGCAAAAGTATTTTTCGAAATGAACTTTCAACATTATGAGATGATCAAGTAGGCAGCTTTTTATGTCCATTGGAAGCACTGGATTATCAGTGTCTTGTACCATTGACACTAGAGTAGGGAACATGTCTAGCGTGTCACTTTCCATACTGTTTCTCCAGAGCTCTAATTTTCTCATGAATGCCTTCACTTTGTCATTCCAAGAAAGTACAGTTGCCTCATTCCCTTGAAGTGAAGTGTTGAGGATATTTAGTTTCTCAAATATATCTGTGAGGTGAGCCACTTTCAATAAAAAAATCCTTGTTGCTGAAACTGTCTGCCAGGGAGTTATTTTCCCCATTTAAAAAACAGAACACCTCATGCCTCAGCTCAAACATTCTCTTTAATGTCGTGCCTCTTGAAAGCCATCGAGCATCATTAAAAAACAACAGAGCGGTGTGTTGGGCACCCATTTCCTCACACAGCATTTAAAAAGTCTAGACTTCAGAGGATGCGGCTGCTGCCGAACTATCAACACTGTCTCTGGCATACGCGTTTTATAATTGCCGGTAAAGAGAATAATTATTAGTTATTTTGAAATTCATGATAATTAAAGCCTGTAATCATCAAAAGTTTTTCTATATGTATTTTTATATTTTATCACTTTTCTGATTGATTTAGGGCAGTTTTAATTTGTATCTATAGGAAAGTATGCTGCGCCACCCTTTCAAGCCCTTCGCGCCCCTCCTGGGAGTTGCGTCCCACAATTTGAGAACCACTGCCTTAAACGAATCATCGATTTGTTGATGAGGTTCCACCATTTGTCACCATAAGTGGGATATTTCGGGGAAAAGGACATTACCCGTCGTCTCACCGTGTTTCTGCCATATGGCGCGTCGAAGAAAAGGTTATAGATACAACAGATGTTCCTCTTATAACCCCGGGAAAATTGTTAATTTTCCTCTTACGTACATGGGTTCGAGTCAAAGTCTACTTATTTTCCCATTTCCTCCCTTTTTGACCTGGAGCAGGCTCGGAATCTACGCGACAGTCTCGTGTCTGACTTTCCAAATGTATTCCATTTCGGGGCGCGACGTGTGTTTGAGGTGCAGAAACGTAAAGACGGCAGAGGCTATAACAGCCAGCACGAACAAGAAAATATTCTCTGAAATTACAGGGTTACATCTTTGAAGTTGTCCCCTGTGATTAATTAATTTAGCACTACACCATGAAGATGTGGGGGGGGGGGGTGGAGATATAGCTCCATGATTCTTGACCTCAACACTAGACNACCCGTTGGGTGAAGGCTGGCCGGGCCCCAGAGCAGTTCTGGACGCTGTGGAGAAGAGACAATATCTTGGCCCTGCCAGTAATTGAACTCTGCTCGCCCAACCACGTAACCCGTCGGTATACCGACTGAGCTGTCCGGGTTCTCGAGGTATTGTGTGCATAGTTTGGAATGCGTTCGGGCTTTCTTTGAAATTATTGACAATATTGTTTGCCCATAAGTGAGCGCGCGACTTGCAGCTCTAGCGGTACTGATCTGTTTATGGTGTACGCCGCTGGGAAGGGCTTAATGATTTCCGTAACAGTTCGTATCTTCAGCTCAAGTTAATGGAGGAGCCATCGCGACGCCTGGACGTTTGAGACGTGAGAGAAAAGTGAAAGGCTTGTTGCTTCCGCGTCGTAATTGGTTCCCTGACGCCATTAATAACTAACTAACTGCGAAGAGGAAGCAGAGACAGACATATTGGATTTGTCATGCTCGGCTGTTGGAGAGCGCGCGATGAAAGGTAAAGGTAGAACTGTCCCTGTGCTCGTTTAACCACCCTGACATGAAGATGTATGTGGCAGTGAAGTTTAAGCTTCACGCCTAAGGGATAGAGTCCCAGGTACCCATCGGACACGAGGCTGAGTGGATGCTGTGTTGAAGAGAAACATTACCTGCCCTTGCAAGGCATCGAACCCACGCTCCTCAGAAATGAGGTTCGTACGATTAAGGTTGGGATGCCAACATGGAGGGGGAGGGTGGCAGGATTAGGAGTGACTGCCAAAAAATGTCCTTCCAGACGTCACAGATTTGTGTGGGCTCTGTCGAAACATTGCTGTAGCCACACACAAACTGTGTTGAGGCCCCTCCTGTTCACTTTTTTTCAAAATCCAGACGTAGATACCATAAACAAAAACACAGGAACTTCAATTGAAGCTAGGAAAGAGATTGGTCTAGAAGTAAACACAGAGAAAACTAAGTATATGTTGCTGTCTCGTCACCAAAATTCAGGGCAAAATCATGACATAAAGATAGGAAACAGAAATTTTGAATATGTGGCACAGTTCAGATATTTGTGAACAACGGTAACAGATCGAAACCTGATTCAGGAGGAAATTAAGAGGAGATTGAACCCGGGTAATGCTTGCTACCGTTCAGTCCAGAACCTTTTGTCTTCTCATCTGCTGTCCAAAAACATAAAAATTAGAATATACAAAACTATAATTTTGCCTGTGGTTCTGTATGGGTGTGAAACTTGGTCTCTGACATTAAGGGAGGAACATAGACTGAGGGTGTTTGAGAACAGGGTGTTGAGGATAATATTTGGACCGAAGAGAGATGAAATGACAGGAGTTTGGAGAAAACTGCATAATGAGGAGCTTCACAACGTGTACAAGAGTACACGTTGTGTATAAGTATAATTACAGTGATCAAGTCAAGGAGGATGAGATGGGAAGGACATGTAACAGGAATGTGGATAATATAGGATATTATTGGGAAACCGAGAAGGAAAGAGACCACTGGGAAGGCCAAGACATAAGTGGGTGGATAATATAAAATGAATGTTACAGAGATAGGATGGGTTGTTACGGACTAGATCGATCTAGCTCAGGATAGGGACAAGTGGAGGGCTCTTGTGAACACGGTAATGAGCCTTCGGGTTCCATAAAATATTGGGAAGTTTTTGATGAGTTCTGCACAACTGACGGCTTCTTGAGGGCTTCCCCCAGAGATTGAACTGTCTGCTTTGCCACAAGGTTGTGACGCCGTAGGATTGGCCACTAACTCGCAAGGTCGGACAAGTGAAAGTGGCTCGGGTAACTGTGCCTTGTGCTGCTAGTCGCCAGAAACAGGTTCTGTCTGGCAGCGTCGTCAAACAGGGTCACGACAGATACACACGTTCCATAGTAACGGAAAGTAAACGACAGAGCGAGCTCATGTAGCAGTGACGCTAGAGACCTGGACACAGCTACTCTGAGGTGTTCCGTGGTTTTCCTCATTCTCCTTATGCAAATGTCAGGGCAGTGCCGGAGATTATTCCATAATCCTTTCGAATTCATCATTCATAGAAGTTTCTGGCATCCGACGCTGACAGCATAGTTAAATAAACAACAGACGAAATTAAAAGCAGGTGTCCTCTGGTGATGTGACCCCGCATAGCCCGTTGAAAATCAACCGA